TTTGACCATTTACCAGCTCCAACTTGTCAACCCCACACAGGCATCATCATCACAATTGCCCATAATTCCAAATCGAAATCCATTTGGACCCTCGCTTTCTCTGCATATATTAATTTGTCCCTCCCCACTCTAAATTAATTTCGTACTGTGACAAGCTTCTAATCACATTCATGGCGGAAAATTACAACGCCGAGTGTGTGGAGACGAAAAAGATTGTGCCAAACCCCAGGGTTGAGATAGATTTCTCGCCGCCGTTCGAGTCGGTGAAAGAGGCCGTCGACCGCTTTGGCGGCGGCGGCGCTCCCTGGATACCCATTCACCTCCTCCGTTTAGCCGCTGCTCGGGTTAGTCTCTCTGTTTGTTAAACTCTGTTGTCCTGTGCTAATTTATTAAAGTCTGCTATGGGATCTCTTGATTAATTCGGCTGGTTGAATTTCTGAACCATAAATTTTTGTTAAGAATTGTTTGTGCAATCATATATGGAAAAAAGAAATTACAATAGCAAATATTCTTCCTTTTTTTATGGTCTCCTCAGGACATACTTAAAGATGAATTGTTCTGTTTGGTCTTATCTTAGACCGGCTTGGATCGATATATTTCTTTTTCACAAATATTCTTATTTTTACTAAAAAAAAAAGGCACACTATAACAATCATACGAAGTAACTAGTATAAGTACACATTTTTGTTTGAAAATGTGTGCAAAATCTGAGAACTAAATGGCCAAAATCTGAGAACAAAATCAAGATTACTTATGAGGATGACTATTTCACGTAATGGCAGCACGATAATAACGAGCCATTCGACATGTCCAAAATGGAGGAAGAAGCAATGCTGTTAGAAAGGGACCTAATCATAAAAGAACAGCAAACCCATAATGTCCTAAAAGAACTCGACTCCGCGAAAAAATTGCTCGACAGCTTAAAACTCGACCTCATCATTCCCGAATTATCTTCCTCCTCCGCCCCAACTCCCGACAACAACTCAACCGAACCGTATTCGGCAGTCTCACCAACCCCCACATTCATCGAACTAAACCAAGCCAAACGAAACCTCAACCGCACATCCACCGATCTCGCCACAATCCAAGCTTCCCTCGAGTCCCTCAACCACAAGCTTCGCGAAGACAAGATCTTGCTCGGGAGGACCAAAATGCAAATACAAAACTCCGAAAATAATAATAATCGAGATCTTCACGTGAAATTAGGAGCCACGTACGAGCTCAAGGAGTTTGCGAGCTTCGAGGCGGAGGAGTTCAAGAGGATGACGGAAGCTTCTAGATACGAGGTCGTAAAAGCGATGGCCGAGATCGAACGCACCAAAGACAGCATCAAGATGGCCGAGATGAGGCTCCACGCCGCCAAGAAAATGGAGGAGGCCGCCAAGGCCGTCGAGGCCATCGCCCTCGCCGAGAAAAAGAGCGCGTTTTCAAATGTTTTCCTGCCCAAAAAGGAGGAGACCACGAAAAACGTTGTGATGGAGCGTACGGTAATTAGTAATAACAATTTAATGAAGTTCAAGTTTCGGAACTCGGTGGGGGCCCACAGGAGCCCACCGGAGGCTGCGGTGGGGGTGCGGAGGATGGTGGGCCCGCAGGACGATGGTGTGGTGGGGAGGCGCGCGGAGGATTATTGTCCGGAGAGGGGACACGTGTCGTTGAGCCAGATGCTGAGGGAACAGAGTCGGGGAATCCTGCATCATCGTGACGAGCAGGCCAAGGAAGATGAGAATGTTTTGGAGAAAAGGCAGTATTTTTTCCAGATGAAGAAGAAGAAGTTTGGGTTCATTCAGGTGCCGGTTTATAACAGGAATAACAAGAAGAAGAGGTGAGGAGGATCTGAATGTGAGGTCACTATAGGCTTTGGTTTGGAGTGAATTTGTTATAGTGTATAGTGCTTTGGTTTTGTTTTTATTTGTTTGTTTGTAGTGTGATTTGAGATTGTTTCTTTTGATTTCTTGCTTGTGTTGTTGTGTTATAATGTAAACTAAGTGCAGTGTTCCAATGTCTTCTAGTTTTGTGGTCTTAGCTTCACTACTCGTGCATTCATTTTCAAGTTTTTTTAATTTGTAACAATTTTTTTTGATAAATATGGGATTTATATTTGGTGAAGATTGTTCTTTGTATGGTTCATAGACATCTAATAGTTTCTGGTAAATTAGACTTAGCACTTAGGAAAAGTTTTGCAAGTATTCCAAGCTCATGATTCCTTCTTCATGATGTGTATTACAGCTAGTAGTTTTTAATGTATTAGACTAATCCTTAAAATGTGTAAAACAACGTGAATATGATCCTTCCTAATACACGTCTTAAGTAATCATTAAAGTCTATACTTGTGCAAGACATTCATGAAGTCAATAAATAAAAATATTAAAAATCAGACGAGTATCAATAAAAGTAAAATAGAAAGTAGAATATCTGAATGCGTCTTATATATTGCCATTCTTCTTTGGACCCAAGCATGACACTACATGTTGACGCAAGTTAATGTAAGAGTACCTACAATGCATTAAGTCTAATTTTACATATATGACATATAAATAGACTTAAGTCCTAAATAACATAGACAAACTTAAGTAAAAAAAATCAAAAGCTATACAATGCAAAAAATAAAATATTAGGTCTAGCATACATGTCAACCAAAAATGCTCTAATATATGTTTAGGTTTCTACTTGGTTCCAAAAGAGACCCAATGCACTGTGAGTGTTGTTCTGATGGCCATATGAAAAGTCTTATTCCATATCAATGTTTCGTATATTATTTAGTTAAGCCATGGGACTTTTTATCAGCAATCACACAAACAAATAAAAATTCTTATATTGGTGCAAAATGAAGTAACTCCGCATCAACCATATTACTGAGTATCAAATTCATTATGTGTGATTGGTTGACTTTTATAAAGTGATATCCAACTATTTAGTCACTAGAGTGCCCAAGACACGAACCCAAAAGTTATTTATTAATTTAAATCCCAAAACAAAGTCTCCCACCAAAGAACGTCAAGTAGATAAAAGTACATGAGAGAAGTTTTAAGGACATAGAATACTATAAATATTAACATAGACAATACCAAAATTCAGACCAAATGCTTAAAGCTCTTACCCTCAAACAGGTAGCCATTTTTTAATTCAAAACGCATACCAAGTGAATGTTAATTGTACAAACATCCATTAAACTCAAACACATCATCAGTCACAGCACTCTATTGTCTATTTGCACGTAGTGTATCACACAANAAAAAAAAAAAAAAAAAAAATCAATCACACCCAACAAACAACAAAGGTAAATTGAACATGCAAATGTCACTGAAAGATGTCAACGAAGACCTACGATATTCTAAAAAAAATCTGGGGAAAAACTTTCCCCTCAAAAGCTGTACCAGTTGAGCAATATAAACCTTGGATAACCACCACAATCAGATCTAGTTTGAACTTGGAATATAAAATGGTACAACAAAAGTATCTTATTTCGCGCCAAGTAAATGTGGTTTTTATATAACACGATATATATATCACATGTGGAATGGAAATAACGAGAATACCTCATTTTCTTCTAGTTAAGGAAATATAACCTGGCATGGTAAAAAATAAAATAAATCCTATAGAAGAAAAGTTAAACTGGCTGTAACAAGAAATGTAAGAATAGATTGAAAAAACAAAAGTCCAACCAAGTGCCCGTAAGATCAATTAAACTATGAAATGCACAATATTGAAATATAAAATCACGGCAGAAAATGCGACTTGCGGCATATTGCCCAAGATGAACACTGAACAAATTACAAACAGGCTCAACGTGACCAACCAAAGTCACATTACTCTCCACCAATGGACAGGATACTACCTATAATCATAATATCTAAACACATTCTTCACTTGAAAGCTAAATTATGAGTTAGTACACAAGTATTATATATTATATATATGTATTATATGGAAGATGAGAAATGAAATAAACACACACTGATATAAACAAGAATAAAACGAAGTGAATTCGTGTGGACACAAAAGCTCTCAAATAAGACTGGAAATGAATATCAATTCAGGTGGAAACAAAAGCTCTCAAATAGATTGAAAATGAATATATCATGATCCAAAATATTAAACAAGCCAGGTCATTGCAAGAAAATGCAAGTAGATTGAGAAAAGTCAGAAACCAAGAAAATGTGTGCGGTGATAATTAAACAAGTATACATATTTTAACAGTCTTATACCAATACTGCCAGACCATAAAGAAGCATCCATCACCAAGTTTCATTTATCGCCTGTTTAAGCTTACAAATGAGCTGCCCTCAAAGGAAATTTGCCATCTATATAGCAAAACAACCCACAACATCATAGATCAAGTACGAACCATGGACATGCGACAAACCACTTATAGCTGAAAATACTTTCAATACATAGCTGAACTAAACTGGCCACAACGAGGAGTGCACAAGAAAGAAAAAAAAATGAGCATACACAATCGAATATCTAAAAATTGTCAAGGAGTCAATCCTCATTGGAACTGAAATTACATGGATAGTAACGCAGAATGTTAACAAGTTAGATTATGGAAAGAAAACGAAGGACTACACTGAAAAACAAAAATCTACGAGTGCCCAAGAATCCAAGTTAAATCTCAAACCATGTATTCCAAAAATAGAAGGCCGGATAAACTATATAGGAAACACATAAATGATATGAGAGATGAGTTGTACACAGAGAAATAGAACAAAGGCAAGAAGTTAACAACACAGGATGAAGAAGTTATTTTTACAAAGTATTAATATATAAAGAAAACATAGCTCTTATCAAATGTCCAAACCCCTTAGCCACAAATAGGTAGCACAATCAAATGCAAATCCAAAACCATGTAGTCCCCCAAGGTACAATAAAAAAATTTAGGAACCGTATTTGGAGCACAGGAGAACGGAACAAAAGAATCAAGTAAAAAAGAAAAAGAACTTTACAATCACCCAACAAATAATAAAGATAAATTGAACATGCAAGTCATTGAAAGTTGTCAACAAGAACCTACAATTCTAAACAAATTATAGAAAAAACTTTTCCCTCAAAAACTTGGTAGGCAATAAAAACTTAGGATAACCACCACAATCTGTTGGAACTCTGGATATAAAGGGTACAGCAAAGATAGCTTATTTCACGCCAAATAGAATGTGGTTTTTGCATAACAGCATACATACACAACATGTGGAATAGATATAACGAAAAAGTCCTCATTTTTTTCTGTTAAAGAAATATAACCTGGCATGTTTGGAAAATCAACAAGTCTTATTAGACGGTAAATTCATACACATCCCAATATTCGTTACTTCTCTGAAATTCTAATCAAGAAAAGTTAAACTGGGTGGATAGTAAAAAGCTAAGAATAGATTGAAATATCTAAAATCCAACCACCTTCCGTTAAGATCAAACAACCATAAAATGCAGGATATAGAAAAAATCATGCCAGAAAATGCGCATACAACGTATTCCGGAGTTAAACACCAAACAACTTACAAATAGACTGAGCATGACCAACTGAAGTCGTATTTACTCTTGACCAATGGACATGACACTACCTATAATCATCAATACCTAAACAAAATTAATTACTCGAAAATTAATCTAGTGCAAAAGTTATTATATATATACAAGATAGGTATAGGTTATCACAAGAAAATGCAAGTAGATTGAGAAAACTTAAAAAGTCCCTAAACTCTTAGCAACAATAACATTACACAATCTAACTCAACGGACAACCGAAGTCTGCTCACATATAATGCTCACTTCTATGGTTAAATGGAAACAAGCACACTAACAAAACCGAGAGAGTTAAAGAGATTGGATAAAGAAGTGGGTCCATCCGCAATCATGCAATATTGACTAATGGGAATCACATGGGTGAACAGTAAAGATCAACAAGGTGTGGTAAATAAATGAGTATAGAGATTCTAACACTGTCTGACCATTAAGCATCAACCATCACCGAGTTGCACCCTATCGCCCGTTCAATCATAGAATTTAGTCGTCCTCAAAGGAAATTCACCATCTACATTGCAAAAAAGACACCAACATCATAAAGTACCAACCATGGACATGCAACCAACCTTTTATAGCTGAAAATACTCTCAATATATAGCTGAAATCAATTAGCCAAAACAAGGTCAGAGCAAGAAAAGAAAAGAACAAAAACGGTTATAGACAATAATAGAGTACCTAGAATGCTGTCGAAGGAGCCGATCCACTTTAGGACTGAAAGGCATGGATAGCAATAAAAAAATTAAAAATAATAGATTATGGCTCGGAAACGTTAAACTACACTGAAAAACAAAAGGTCTACGAGAGTGCCCAACACCCTAGGCCACGAATAATTTTCAGAATCTAATTTAAATCTCAAACCAAGTACCCTCAACAAAGGAGGGCATATAAATTATATATGAAACACATAAAGCACGTGAGAGATAAGGACCATGTACAAAGCTCATGAGAAAGGTAACAAAATCATAAAGTTAACAGGCCAAAAAAAACGATGTTATTATCACAAAACATTAATATATTGAGTAAATCCAACTCCTATAAAGCGTACAAAACCCTTATTCGCAAATAGATATCACAATCGAATGCAAAGACCGAACCAAGTCGTCCCCCAAGGTAAGGCATGGAAATCTGAGGAACCGTATTTGGAGCATTGAAGAATGGAACAAAAATTCAAGTCAAAAGGAACATGAGAGAATAAAAAACAAGTCATTTTTAGGAAAATATTAATGTAGAAAAAACAAAAATCTGACCAAATGCCCAAACCCCTTACCACAAACATGTAGCACTGCATTCAAAGCGGAAATCAAGTCATATCCACAGTATGGCAAAGAGATCCGAGGAACAGTTTTGAGAGTAAGGGAGAATGGAACTAAGGATAAACTTAAATGGAAGCAATAAAAAATAGATCATTGTTACCAAAATATTAATACATAGACAAACAAAATATCTAGTCGAATGCCCAACCTGTTAGCAACAAATAGGTAGCACAATCGAATTCAAGGCCCAAAACAAGTCGTCCCCCAAGTTAGGACAAGGAGATTCGAGGAACCTTATTGAAAGAACAGGAGAGACTTGAAACACAACTCAAATTTAACGGGATAAGGGAAAAAAATAGTCACTAGGATAATGTTATATATACAAAACAAATAATAATAATAATTATAATAATAATAATAATAATAATAATAATAATAATAATAATCTAATGCCCAGCTCCCTTAGCCAGAAATAGGTTGCGCAGTTGAATTCAAAGCCCAAACCAAGTCGTCCCCCATGATAGGGCAAAGAGATCCAAGGAACCATATTGAGAGCATAGGAGAGTGGAACAAGAGATAAAACGATAAGGGAAAAAAATAAGTAATTAGTACGACAATATTAATAAATAGACAAAAATCTGATCTACTGCCCAACCCCTTAGTCGCATATAGTAGCGCCATCGAACTCAAAGCCCAAACCAAGTCGTCCCCCAAGGTAGGGCAAAGAGATTCGAGGAACCATACTGAGAATAAGAGAGAATGGAACAAAAGATCAAACTTATAAGGAAATAGAACATTAGCAAAAAAATATTAACTTATAGAAAAAACAACAAACCTAATCTAGTGCCCAATCCCCTTAGCCACAAATAAGGGCAATCGAATTCAAAGCCCAACCAAGTCGTCTACCAAGATAGGGGCAAAGAAATCCAGTGAACAGTATTGAGCATAGGAGAATGGAACAAAAGGTCTAATTCAAAATGATACGGGAAAATTAGGTTAGTTTAGAAAAGATAAAGGAAAAAATAGGTTAATTGTAGGACATTATAAATACAAAAACAAAACAGAAAATATCAAATAGATAGTGCAACCAAACCCAAAGCCTTAACCAAGTCATCTTTGAGAAAATTAATCATCTACCGAACCATCTAGTAGAGTGTCCCAAATCCATAACCAACATTAAAATAATTTATGCCAAAAAAAAAAAAAAATCTTAAATGGTTATAACTGATTTGAAACTTTTGAAAGAAAAAAATGCCATGAGAGATTTTAATTGCAGGGGAAGTTTCTGTAAATGGAAAAGAATCATACGAAACTGTATGATGTAAAATATAACCAAGATGTGATTCGTGGTAATTAAAGCAGTAAACACCAATTCGAACTCAGACAAAGCACGGTATAGGCATAAAATTTTCACCATTCAAATTATCGAACAACGGGAGAAATTAGAAGTTTAACTCGCAAACAATTCACAAGAATAAGAAGGAGAATCAAACAATTTAATTGGATTCGGAATACCCAAATCGCAGCGACATGAAAGGCTTTTCGTCGTTGGATTCAAAAGAGACCCTAATCGCCCCCATTTGTTTGACAATCGAGACCCTAATGGCTATTTTGACCCGTATCTTTTTTCCTTCCAAGAAGAACCTGAAACTCAGCAAACATAAAATGAAAACGAAGATTTATAGAATGATCGATAAGAGTTTTTCTCTGGGCAATGCATTTGATTTTTGAAGGTATACAGAACAGACAACAATTGTATTTGATGAACTTTATATAGGGAGAATGAAGACGAAGCAGTAGAGAGAAGATCGAATTGGAAAATAACGTGTATGATTTTAAGATTAGCGTACTTTCCTTAATAAACGTCACATCCCTTTCGCTTACCATAATTGATATTACGCCCAACGGATAAATAACAATAAATATAATTAAGTATCACATTTTTTATTTTTTTTTTAAATGATAGAAAATATTATAAATTAAAATACACAAATGTGCAAATACATATCCCCTATTCCCATTAGACACTAATCCATAAAATACCACTATTCATCAAACTCCAATCATATAAATCAGCCGCGGTCATACCCCTTGAACACCAGAAAAAATGAATTTAGACTAACAAAAAAAAGCTATTAAAAAAGAAAGAGACTACTTTAAAAAATATGATTCAATTTATTCTTTAATAATAAAATATATTTTTAAAGCATATTAGATATTTGTTTCATTTGCCTAATTATCTTTATTATTCTTTTCAATGTAGTTGAGCTATTTTGGATTTTAATAGTAATTGTTAAGATCATTTGGTTGCAATTATTGTTTTATTGATTGTGTGTGAAGTATTGATTATGTGTTTTTTTTTTCATCTTTTATCCTCTAGTAAGGTTATTGTATATCATATTTCAATTTCAAGTCATGACTTGTAAGCAATTTATTTTAATAGTAACTATGTCATATGAAAAATCAATTATGGTGTTGTGGAATTTTTATAAATTCACATGTAACATCAACCTTCAGCCAAGATTGAAAAAATTCTATAGATATTATCGTTCTTTAGAAAACACGATCGTCAAACTAGTGAAAGCACATCAAATACCGAACACAAATTCAGTTAATATTTGTAGAAAAATCATTATGTGATTTTTATGAAAATGAGTTTTTAAAATTCTAGTCTAGTCCACTTTTAATTTCTGGATCCGTCCCTGGCGACGTTGTCCTTCTCCTCGACTCGACCGAGGGGTTCATCCACGACCAGAAGGTCGTCGTCATCAAATCCGACCCAGTGGAAAGCAAAGAGATTCGTCGGGCTAGTTGATTCGCTTCTCATCACCGATCTCACAATCAGCGCTGATGGGATGTTGATCGTGTAGTCTTCGCGGCAGAGGGGTTATGCTCTCTCGGCTCTGACATATTTTCTCTTCTGATCTCTCTCTCTACAAATTTGTTAAGGCGAAAATGGGCTAGGGTTTTGGTGATATGAGAGAGCGAATAGTGGGAGAACTGCTCATTTTCTACCTGCGAAGTAACTTAGAACACATTATAAGAGAAAAGAGAAAAAATAGAAGGAAAATTTGGTAAATTAAGCTCAAAATGGCTTGCATTTTTTCTTATTTCTTATAAGAATAATAGAGATATTTCTTTGTATTTATCATGTTCGTCCCGATCAGTATTTTAAGATGCTTAAAGTAAACCTCGTTTCAATCATAGATGGGAAGCAATTTCGTGAAGCTAATATCAAAACGATAAAGCGTGAAGTTATTATGCTACGTTAAACATATTGGGTTGATGTATGCTAACATAACAGTTTTGTTATGGAGCCATCAACACTTATTAACAATAGTGTATTGACACGTGTCCTACAATAAATACAATTTGAACATGTGTCAATATACATCACGGCAGAAGGAACTGCCCGATTTGGTCAATTTGAACAGGTGTCAATACATTAAGCGGTGGATGACTCCATAAGAAAACCATCTGATGGTTCCATAAATTTTTTGGCTAACATAAAATGTAACCAAATAATCTATGATATACATAAACTCCAAATAACAAATTGCACTTTCCATTTATTACATTATCATGCCGAATACCAAATTTGAACCGAATTGAGGAATATCAATAGAACCATCTTATATACGTTCACTTATTCAATACACACCATAATCGTTGGTGGAATTGTATATGCTCCAACTAAAAGAATAATCATTCAAAATTTAATTAAAACAAAAAAAAAAAACTCGTATTTTGCGTCTTAAATAAGAAGCTAGAACTCATAGCATGTTTAACTATGGGGAAGCTCATGTTTACTGTGTTGGGTTAGTGAGCGCATTGAATTACTAGTTACTATATGCAGAAGACACGTCTCCACAATTGTTGTCCAGTGGTTACTCAGGTTGACCAATAGAATTTTTAGTATTTGCTGATACGGTTCAAATCAATAGATACGAGCACATTTAACTCTTGATTTTGATGGGTCGAAATCCTTTGATTAGGCTAAACTAAGCAAACGATCTTATCCTTAAAATAGCTTCTTTTCTTGGACACTTCTTTGTATTTGCAGTTTTATACATCAATCGTTTCGTAAAAGTTTGAACTAGAATCTTTATTTATTTTTTTCAAATGAGTCGAAATTGAATAGCTAATTTAATTTGTTGATTAGTCAAGTTGAGCTTGTTGGTAAGGGACTCACTTTTAATTTTTCTTTTTTAATTTTTAATGAATTTTAAATTAAACAGTTGATATGGACTTGTTTGAAATTAAATCTATATATATATAATTGCTAGCTAACCTCATTTAATAAAACATTTAATAAAAATATTTTCATTTTCCCTCCAAAAGGAGTTACATTTTTTTAATTAATTACTCATTAATTTCACATTTAAAAAGGTTTCTTTTAGTTAAACTTAATTAATTAATGACTAAATTAAAAAAGTTTCTTTTAGTTAATCCCACATTTATGTTTCTTATTCTCATTTATATATATAAACATGACAGTCATTATTATTGTGCAGAAACTATATATTATTATTTTTTATTTCATTATGAATTGAATAAGCAATTAAAATTATAAAAAATATTAATAAATGTATTAATTACAAACATTATAATACATATCATGTTACATTACAATATAAAAAATGAAATTATTTTTTTTGTAATTTAATTTCCAGCCGTACTCAATCAAATATATAACTACAAAATGATAAGAAAGATTAGTTTCATAATTAAAATTAAAAATTTAGCTCCCCAAATGGTAAAACCTTACAAATTAGTAGTATAGATACATTTAAATGACATATAATTTATAAACTTAGACTATACGCATAATAAGATGAATTATGAATTAAATAAATAAATTATTATTATAACACAGTCTATATAATTATTATAGCAAAGTCTATATTGTCAATATTATCATTTAAAAAGTTCATTGAAAAAACATATGTATAAAAAAAATCCATATGATCATAATTAATAGTGCAAAATTAACATTCTTTGACTTTCTATTTGGTAGTAATAATAAAATATTTTATATTACTACTATTCAATAAAATGCATGATTTCTGCATATTTGATTATCGCAATCAACATTCTTTTTTTATAAATTAAAAAGTGTCTTGAATCAATTGTCTCATATTTTTCATTAAAACAAAATAACTGTTGGCCGTGAAAAAAAACATTATTTCACAATTATAAATATAAAAATGATTAATTTTCATTAAACAATTCCTCTTTAAGAAAAAAAGTGGCGGGATAAATTTCTGCATGATTATAGCATCAAAACATATCTAAAACATCAATATTTTAATGCATTAAAAACATACTTTCAGCAACAGAAAAGTCATATTAAACGGAAATTGGCAAAGTCAAAGAATGAGAATTGACAAGGCATTGTATGTAATGACATATTGTTGCATAATATAGAAATATCAACCATAATTAATAATCAACAAAAAAAAGTCAAATCTATATGAAAAAATCAAAATTAAAAACACAGCAAATTATGTGGAACATTATTGAACACTATACAATATAGAAAGAAAATTAATTTGATTTCTCTATCATTATCAACATATTCAACTTTTACCAAGACATCTGCCTTTATATTAAAATCGATTTTTTTGCGTAAAAGTTTTAAAAATAAAAATTCCTACAGATTCTTTTAAACATTAAACAAGAAATTCCTAATATGCGATAAATATATCTAAACAGATTTGTTATAAACTTACCTAATATTTCCAAATTTTGAACAAAATACTAAAAAATTTGAAAAACTATAGCAAAAGACTTTGAATAACTTCGAAAAGCGATTTTGAACAAGTGTTAGCAAAGTTTCACTTATTGATATGATGAGAAAGACGACAAAGAATTGAACTATTTAGTTTTCAAAATCTGAACAAAAGACATAAAAGTTACATATGTATGTTATAAAAAGATATGAACAGATATGTTATAAACTTACATATATATTTGTTAGTAGAGCTGAACATATCTGTTAGAAACTTACATATTTTTTCAAACCCTGAACAAAATACATAAAAGTTTGAAAAAGTTCGACCAATGTCACTTTGAAAAACATCTAAATAATTTCGAATTATGTATAAAATATAATAAATCTTGAAGCTTATTCACAAAGAATTTCGGACAAAGACACATATCATTGAAAATAATAAAAAATAAAAACTACGTTTAACAAAAAATATTTCAACTCATAGATTTGTAATATTATCGCCCGATTTTGACCGACCTGTTAAGATTTAGCAACACAGATTAAGAAATCGGGACGAATATTTTATTTTTCGATCACTACTGTTGGTCACAAAAACAATATTTCTCGGATGTCTTTTTTTTTTTTAAAATTTTTTAAGCCTTACCGGGAGAAAATCTCCGGTAAAACAATTGTTTTGTATTGAATCTCGCCGAGTTTGTCGTAATATCGGGTTAAGGATTAGGTTTTCAGACAGAGTGAATAACGAGAGAAGCGCCGACATCAAACAAAAAAAAAAGGGCTTACATCACTCTCAAGGAGTTTATCTCTATTTATAGTCATGTTATCACTGACCTGTTTTATATTTGATTTTGGCTACCCTAAAGAATTAAGTGGACTTCTAATTTGGACTTTTTTTATCATTCAATCAATATATTTCTTTATGGCCCAAAAATGGTCATTTCGTTCAAATGTTTTAAATATTTGGCACATATCATTATTTATCAACCAAATACAATTATTTATTAATATTTTGCTGGTATTTTTTAGTATTTTTCTTTAAAATTTCCTATATGATCTATAGTACAAAATACAATAATTATTTAAACAATTAAAACTATTTTATGTCTTAATTTGAAGATATGTTGTAGTGATGAAAATTCTGTTGATAGAAAAACCACAAACGTTGTATATAAAAAATTGTTTAACAATATTTAGTTATTATTTCTTAGAACATTTTTCCAATGATTATATTATGATTTTTACTATTGTTTATATATTTTTATTATTTTTTGTTCTATTATATTGTTTTCCGTGCAAATGCACGGGTTAAAAACTAGTAGTTTATAATTGTAAGTAGCTCATTAAGATTTTAAATTTAGTAATTGAGTCAAACCCAAATTTAACGAGTTTAAATAAGCGATGTCAAACCAAATCTTTAAACTTGTTCATTAAACGAAATATTCTATTTAAAAAGCACAAGGTCAACATAAACTCGAAACTATATATATAATTGCAGGCAGTAAATGTAATGTAAAAATTGTTTTATTTTTCGGCTCATTTTTGTAATATAATTTTAGAAAGAAATCGTTACATGTATTAATCAAGTAATATATTCTAAGTGATATGTGAAAGTTATATACGTATCAAGAATTTTATTGCATTTTTTTTCCAATCTATTTATTTTAAACCATTATTATTTTTCCAACTTATTAAGAAATATTTTATTAAAAATAGTATTTTTTTATGGTATTTTTTTTATGACACAAACAAACCCCATAAAATTCGACATCAAGTGCTATAATAATAATTTCAATATTCTTATTAAATTGATTTGTTATAATAACTAAAAATTGCAAAAGTTATATTATTGTAATCAATATAGAATTCATTTATATTTAAGTTAAATAGTTTATATTTATATCGTTTATTTTTACGAATACTAAAATTTATAAAATGTGATATACTCGTTATCTAACCAATAATTTTAAATATTACATAGTTAAATATTACATAGACGCATACGTAACTTATAAAATATATTTACATCTAAACATGTTGCCCGTCTCCTTCTCTTTCCTTGTGTTGTGTTGTGTAACATGTAATTGATTTATTCGACTTGTTAGTTGTTGTCTAGTATGTGAGTATGTGTTTTTATTAAACATGTAATGGCGTGATTGTATACAAAGTTTTCACTCAAAATTTTTATGTAACTCAAAATTTAATTCAATTTTAACTCAACTCCAGTATATTTAATATTATTAATATAATTAAATAATATCACTCAATCATTTTTACACATCACATCTACTTTAATTCATTATTTATCACATAATTTTAACTAATTATCACTACATATCATTTCTGTCATACTTTTACATCAAACTAACTTTAATTATTTTATTTTAATATAAATCCAAATCAACTAACAACTAAGAATGCAATCTTTCTCAAAATCAACTCTGATTAACCAAAAAATCACTTTGAGTGAAAAAATTTGTATCCAAACATGTCCTAAACGAGTCGAGTCGAACTTGAGTTTCGAGTGCTCGAGCCCATAATGAATTGAGTCGAGTCGAGCTCGGCACGTTGAATAAACAATCTAGAAATTGAGCTCGAACTCGGTTCATTTATCAATATTAACGAGCCGAGTTCAAGTCTTAACGAGTCGATCTCAAATTTCAACGAGCTGAACTATAAAATGTTATATAAAAATTCTCTTATCGAGTCTTATCTAATTTAGCCGAATTCAACTCGCTAATCAAATGAGTTTTAAATGAACCCAAGCTTGACTTATTAAAAATTCAAGATGAGTCGAGTAGAATCGTTTAATTTAACACCAATTATTTTCATCCATGAAGTCTGTTTTTTCCTAAAAAAAAAAAATTAATAATAATCTTGACACTTGACGTGTTTCATCAAATCTGACACGCGTCTTTGTAAATCATTTTTTACGACTTTAACGTGTCCTGCTTAGATAGGTGGAAGAGCGCTTTTCGACTTTTGAGTCGCCTCGCGGGAAATTACTAACCCGCCACATTATTCAATCTTCCCCGCTAAAATGCGCCCCGCGGTCCGCTCCAATTTCGCTCCAAAAATGTAATTTCCATTCCCGATAAAAAGACACGTAAGACTACAATTCCATCATATTCAATCACACTTCTACCATGAAAGAGACCATAGTACTTTTCCAAATAAAGTATACTATTCTCTATTCTACTTAATTTACTGCGTGTATTAAATTGATAGACTTCACGCAAAATTTTTAGATACTTGGTGACTAATTGCAGAATTACTACACTCGATATGTAAAGAATATTATAATTTGGCCTTAATACTGCAAGAGACAACTAATTTCTTTCTTATTAATAATAATAAAGTTACAAAAGCTACTTTTTGTAAAAAATTATAAAAGCAGTTCCACTACATCAACAATTTTATTTTTTTTCCCCAACACACGATTTTATATTTTTAGCAATTAAAAACATTTTGATAGAGACAAACATACCCTAGCAGCCAGAGCATTGGACGTGGATATCATACGCGATGGCGCACCGCGCACGTTAAACGTCCCCAGCATATACGCTTTTAACCTACTCTGTCACTATCAGTATCATCCCTGAATATAAAAATGCGAGTCTCAAAATTTTTTATTTGACGCCCAACACACACGCACACACGCACACACACATGCTGGAGCTGCTTTCAAAGCGCAGCTTTCAGCTTCAATGGCGTATCAACCTAGGGCCCGGAAGAGGATCCGCGCCCTCTGCCGTGGCCCCGACGGCAGTGCCTTCCAGAGATGGTATTCTTATTGTTTCTGTTGCATTTGATTTTTGTTTTGATTTTTTTCGCTTCAATGTTTAATCTCGCCGGTCGATGTTGGGTTTCATCTTTCTAAGATTTCAATTGCTTGTTTTCGCGTGGCTCTGTTTCTCTCCCGGCAGCGAAAGTTGCGGGCTTTCTGTGCCGATTGCTTTGATTGATATGCACGCGTGTGAAATCGAGAAAAATGCGAGGAAGAAAGTTAAAAGCAGCTGTGTGAGTGGGAAAGTTGAGGAGCAGAGGTTTGAGGACCAGCCCAGATCGGCTTTTCGATTTTTCATGTAGAATCATTCTTTCCCTTTGATCGCTTTTGATTTTTGTTGCCATTTTTCNCAATTTGATTTTGTGCCTGTCCTTTTGTTACCATATCAAGAAAATGATGGATTCTGTTTATTTGATTAGGGGTGTTGATGTTTAAATTTTAATGAATTTCTGTTCTGTTCACAAGTTGGCTAATTTTACTTGATATGCTATTTATGCTATTAGTGTTAGTTTTGGTGCTTCGAATGTTGCTGCTTGGAAGGAAGTGAGAATCCTGGTTGCCCTTTGAATTTGTGCAACAATTTGTTTCGTAGAATGATGAAGAATTTAACTGTTTTAACACTTGCATGTCACTTGAGCTACAAAAGTTCGTGAATCATGAGAAGCTAAGATATATGTGCACCTTTCTTAGATCTTCCATTCGAGCACATTTTGGCCCGGTAATTGAAAAAGCAGGAAAATTTGCTGAATTTGTCTTGTGAAGCTGTGAAGGCATGCTTGACCTATGCTATGTTTGGTGACTTGTGTAGGGAAGAACTTATGAAGACATGCAAAGGTGAAACCCGATTTGAGATAGAAAAGAAAGGATTTGAGGATTGGAAAACCATGTCAAAAGAGGTAACTTTTCCAGCATCATAACTATGTGAATATGAGTTCTGACTTCTGAGTATTCATATCTATGTAGGGTATGCAATCTAACTTTAATAGTTTGGATTTGTTGCTTTTATAGGAAAGGTTACCTTTTTGTCTTAAAGCAGATAAAGTAAACTCAGCTTATGAGAGGTTGCTGCAAAAGGAGGAAGATGAGATCCAATTGGTACTTATAAGATCTTTGGTTATGACTTCATGTTATTGGATATCAAATTTAAAGAAAAATCTGCTAGAATTTTAGACTTTCATATGCTACTTGATCATTCTTCAGAAAAAGATGATACTAAGCAGTAAACACCTTAGAGATGAATAATGCAAATATAGTCACTAATGTATATAAGGTGCACATTTCTGTTGAATGTTTTGCACAACTTTCAGTCTACATCTTGTTCGAACAAGTTGGCATGATGCAGGGTCAATTTTAAGATGTGTGTTAAATTTGTGAATGACTTATATTAAGGTGTTGGGTTAATTTTAATTGAATGAAACAAGGTATTGGATGGTGGAGTTTTACGATGCTAGTAATGTCAGTATTATAAGCAATGTAGTCAAATTTTAATTGACTTCTTAGTACTTATCTTTTCTAAAAAGAAGAGATTTCAATACAAATTAAGATCTAATTAGTTCTCTAACAGCTTAAACTCTGTTTTACAAGTGTTTTAAGCTTTCCCTGACACTCTCATGCAACTTATGTACAGCTTGTCAGCTAGTGTATATACATCCTGAGACTTTTTCTTGTAAATATTTGAGAATTGTTGTTCTTTGGGTTGGTTCTCCTTGGTTGACTGGTAAACTTCAACATTTTTTGATTTGCATATTTATATGCTTTACTTTCTGCTAAAAATATTTGAAGTAGCAAAAATGTGAGGGATTAAGAAATTTCCATGATGAAATTGTCATTTGTAGGTGGATGATGGAGCGGATTCAGCTGAAGTTGGCAAATATGACAAGGTCTGATATATCTTTTCCTCTACTATTATTTCCGGTTTATAGTAATTCGAGCTTTATAACACACTCCCTATGTTTCTTTAAATTTATTATTCTAGTTTAAAAGTAAGAATTACAATGTTGATGGTTCTGTAATTTATCTCAAACTAAATCTCCATATATATCCTCTATGATATTTCAATCCATGCTCCTCTCCATTACGATAAGTATATATAAAAGAGAGAAATTTTTTAAATGAATATAATATTATAGATAAAGTTGATTAGTTGAAAGAACGAATAAAATATATTGAACAAAATTAGTTAGCAAAATGTTATACACCCTCTACGTCATGTATTTTAGAACGGAGGTAGCATGAAGCATTATTTTAATAACGTGATTGTTGAATTTGATCACAGGACTATGTGAACCATGAATTTTATTCTGATTCTGAAGGCTCTGATGAACTTCAATTTTCTCATTCCGGTACTCATTGGAGCTTCTGCTCTGAAGATTCGTATGTGATCTCCCTTTTTCGTCTTTCTGTTACTGTTTATTTTTCCAATAATAAGTACGGTATAAAGCAAGTAGTTTATTGGCAATACCTTGTAATTCTAAGAAAGAACTTGGTTTTTTTGGTCACAACGGGCTAAAATGATGATCATGTTAATTTATTTTTATTTCCTTTTCGCGTTTATCTGTATTATTATTTCAACTGAATTAATCGTTGGATGTGATATAGGTTCCGAGCATTGCTTTGATCGGACATGATTATTCTGCCGGTTCTCATGTGTGGACCCCATAGGCAAATTTTTGTAGCAATGGTTTTAAAGTTTTTTAAAGCCATTGCATGCATGTGGCAAGGCATCTGGGCTTGGCTATTTTGTAAGTAAATATGTGAAGTTTGATTTTTGGTTAAATTTCTATCTTGGGAATATTTGATAATGGTTATATTGGTGAATGTAAGAGCATCTCCAAGGCTCAAATGTTCTTGTGGTAAATTACATGCTACCTCAAAATATTTAGTAATATCACAACTTTTCATCTTCCAATGCATAATGTAATCACAAATGTTGTGGTGATGTGGACAGAATTAATGTTTACAATGTAGAAAAGAATGTGGTTCATCCACATTCTCCTCCACACTCTAGCTAGCCAATGAAGAGAAGAGATAATTATTCTTACCATCTTCAAATTATTTAATTATTTAATTATTTGTTCTTACTTATTAAAATTTTAATATTTGGTAGGTAGATAATATTGTAGATAAACTATATTGTGCATCGGAGATGATTTTTTAATTTCATAGTTGTGAACTTAACATTTTTCCCACATGGTTCACACTCTATTTAATTGATTGACATTTGTCATAATTTATTCAATAACAACATTAGAGCATTGAAGATGCTCTAAACGAAGGTGTAATGAATGGTAAAACTATGTAGATGGTGGTGTAATGCATGATTTCTTGTTTTGGGGATGAATTTAGTAGGTTTTGTTGGTTGTCCAAAGTTTTGAGCATTTTTCACATTTATTTGTATTTTTTGTCGGTTTTAAGCACTAATCTCATTCAATTATATTTTATTAAAAGAAATGAAACACTTCGTATAATCATATTAGTCATTCACAATTTTAATTGTTATAAATTTGGATTGAAAAAAAAAAACTCATCCCATCATATCAAAATTGTATGACTGAAATTCTAATACAAACACTTTATATATGAGACTGAAAAATTCGTACCCAAAACCATACACCGGAAAAGCTCTTCTAATGGAGTTTTCTTTTGCTAATCCCGCGTAGCCTTTTGCTAATACAAACAAGGATGCTGCAATGGAGTTNTATTATTTTATATATTTAATTTTGTTTATAAAACTTATTTATCTATTTTGTCTTTATAATGTAAAAAAAAAATTGTTAAAATTTGAGAAACTAAAATTTATGAAAAGAAGACTGTTATAATGTAAAAATAAAAAAATATTAAAAATTGATCTTTTTTTTATGCATATAGATTTGTATATATTGTGCATACTTGATAATAAATTGAATCACAGTGCTATTTCTAAAATATTTTCAAAATGTTAATATAAGTAATATGTTTATAAAAAATAATATTTTAAAAAATATTGGTGATACATTCAAATGAAATGATCTTCCAAAAGTAAAATTACCAACTTAGTAATAAAAGATGGAAACACATAAATATTGAAAATATTGAAAAATTATAAAAATATGTTTCGAAAATATTATTTTTAGTTTGAATAAAAAAATAAAGTAAACTTATTCGAGAATGAAAAAAAAAAAAATTATTCGAGAAAAAAGAGAACACAAAAAGCTTCATAAAAGTAAACCTACCTTATTGGGTATGTAAAGTTAAACAGCCTTATTGGGCTTATAAAATAATCTCAGAAGTTTAAGCCCACTTATTCACAGTTTTCGTATTCTGACGAACTCTGCAGAAGCTCGTGACCTCAAAAATGGAGAATGCTCTGAGCTTCAGAAGCCTCTATTTGCTTCACTCCGCTCCGACGTCGTTTCCTTCCCACGTCCCGACCAGACTCAAATTATCGGTACCCCGTGTTCTTATTCAGGGTTGACTGCTCTGTTTCGTTATTATTTTCGTGATTTTTCGCGTTTTTTTATGCGTCGACTATTTATGCAAGCAGAAGCTTGAACGCTCAATTTCACCTGGGCGACATCGAGACAAATCTCTACTGATAACGCAAGCTTTCGGGTCGGGTAGGCAGCCCAACGGGTTTCCGAATCTCCCCAACAAAATTTTCATGGAAGAGGTGCCATTTGCTTTATTCCATTTTTCCCTAAATTGTTTATTCTCAAAACAGAGAGGATAATGGTCTAACATCTTATTTTATTTTGAAATTTCGTGACTTAACTTAGCCATCTATAACTAAGTGTAGAGCTTTTTCTTTTTTTTTTTCTTTTTGCCCTTAATTTATTCCAGGTCATTGGGGCTGAATATGGAGAAGGTTTCGAGACTTTTAGACCTGAAGGTCCCCTTAAAGTTGATGTGGTAAACAGTGGGACCTTTCTTCGTGATTGCATTTGGATCTCCTTATCTTACTTTTCTTAATATTCAGTCGATTCATATGTTATTTGTTTTGTAACGAGGCTTTATAGTTAATTTAATGACGGTGTCTTGATAGGACTTTTTAAATGATAAAATGCAAGAAGGGTTTCTCCAAAGGATTCGATACGCCATGAAGCCTGATGAAGCATATGGCCTCATATTTTCTTGGGACAATGTCGTGGTAAAGTTTCAAACTTTGATCATGTTTCTTATTATATAGATTGTTAGGTATTAAATGGCGGGTTCGCATGGTGTTCACTTAATGAATAATCACCAAGAAAAAAAAGGGGGTTTTAAGCATCTGATCACAAACTGAATCACACTCGTGCGAATGTGTGTTGATCGGACGATTAAAAACCCCTGTGTGGGCAGTTCCACGGGGTTAGGGTGCAATTCAACATCAGTTCCTGTTTCATTAGGCAGACAAGCTATGTGGTATAATGGATAATTAGTATGAAGTTCACGAGTAAGCTTACGGGTTGGGTATAACTCATATAAAAAATTGCTTCCCCTGCATCATATGGGTTGGTTCCCAATTGTGCCTTAGATTAGAAATGTTTTACTTGTTTAAGAAAATAGCTTAAAAGAAACAAGAGTTATATTATTAAATGTGTAATATTTCTAAATATTTAATTAATTTGCTTTATGTCTATCAAAATAATGAGTACGCATGCGCTTTGCTGATTTCGCAATTCCTTTATTGTGGTACAGGCAGATACTCGAACTTTGAGGTTTCATGCATGGGAACAACTTGCATCTGAAGAAGGTTGACAGCATATCCACCTTTAAGTTTCTTGTCGCTAGTTGATTACGTTAGAAACATTGTACCAAAATCTTTTTATTACATAGTTTAGTTGCGAACTTGCGATGAGACTGCATTAGACAATTAGTTGAGACAGTAGTTGTCCGATATTATTAATACACCTGGATGATGCTACCTGGGGTGGCAGATTTTGCCGTGTAAAAGCTTGATCTGGATATCCGACTTCAGTTTTGGGGCCAGTGGATGATTAGTGCCTGAACAATGTAGATTAAGAAATATGTATTTATTTATGAAAAAAATTGATAGTGTGAAAGAACAGTTAACAATGGTAGAAAAATAATTAGGTCATTTCCCGACATTGAGCTTCTGTATTTTGGGGTAAGGATGATAGGTTACCAAATACGTTGAGTGTCTTGGAAATTTGTATTGATTACGGCTACGTAATAATTTTTTTGCAGGAAAAGAGATTCCTGAAGATGAAAATGTGCAAAAATTTCTGCTTCAAGCAGGTGCTGATGATGTTCTGCGTAAGGTCTGGGAATGCAAAAGTAGTTGGTTATTTATGATTATGACTTAAATGGTAAACTTCTATTAATTGTGACAACAAGGCAGTCTGTCAGTGAAAGAAAAGTTTTAGTCTGGGGGCGTTACATTTTATACTGATAACTATTTCTAACTCAGGTAATGGTAGCAGATGTCATATTCATCTGAAACTCTATTGCAATTTTATTTTTGTGTTAATTACCAGCATGAGTATGTTGTTAAACATAACCTCATCCTTAAGCAACGGAAATAGTTTCTTTATGTTTAAGTTTGTTCGAGCTTTATCTTTTAGCTGATGTAGCTGCCATTTACTACATTTCAGATATTGCACTGGGGGAAGGCCGAAGATGATATGGATAGACTGAAGGCCAGGATCGCAATGCTATATTATGAAAATCTCATCAAAGTAAGATGTTTCAATAAATTTTATGAGTGGATGTTTTGCTTGTCCCTGATAAATGGACTAGTAAATGGGTTTCATATATTCTCCTTAGCACTCAGAACCCATAAGCGGGCTTAAAGAATGGTTAGATGCTGTTGCTACATCCCGCATCCCTTGTGCAGTTGTTTCTAGTCTCGACCGCAAAAACATGGTTGATGCTTTGGACAGAATGGGACTGAGAAAGTATTTCCAGGTCTCTCTCTCTCTCTCTCTCTCTCCCCACACTCACATAAGCTCATTGTCACTCTTACAGATAGTAAAAGATAAATTTTATGGTTTTCTTCTTAATAACCATATATGCTACTGTTTGCATGAACTCTAGTTATTTGATGTTTTCTTTTATTAAAAATACCGATGCGAAATTAAATGTTGCGACAGCTAATATCCTTACTGCTTGCAGGCTACTGTATCTGAGGAAGACGGTATGGATTCCATAGCTCATAGATTCCTGTCAGCAGCAGTTAAGGTATGCTGGCGAAAAATTTGATGTAAAATAAAATACTTCCCTATCCCCCGGTTTTAGCAATATTATACGTATTGATCCAGTTATCTTAGAAACACCCTCTGAAAAATTTGTAACTATTTCACAAATTAACTCCTCAAGATACTCCATATTGTGCAATTCGTAAAATGGAAAAAAAGGAATATTTGTGAATCTGAAAGGCACTGTTTTTTTTTTCCTCCGTAGTTATCCTAAGCTTTAGGGGTAGTATCTGTAAAGTTTTCCGAATCATACACACCTTGGTTAATGGACTAACCCATTGGGACTATCTCTCAGTCTCCAAGTGCAATGTCTTCGTGTTTTGTAAGAGTGTGTTTGGTAAGCAGCATAAGCTAGCTAAGCTTTTGGATTATTTAGTTAGCTTATAAGTTTCTTATATTCAAATTAGCTTGGTTTGGTAGAATGGACTTTTTAAAAAAGTTTAAACTTATTTCATAAGCTTGTTTATGTGGCTTTACAACAAAGCCAGTTGAAAATTTTATTTCAGCCGACTTATCAGTTACTACACTTTTTTTCAGTCATATCTGATATAAGCTTAAATTCACTAATAAGCTATCAGCTAACTTATCAACTATGGCTAGTTTTTCAGCTAAACTTTACCAAACATAGCCTATCATTCTTCGACCTGCCTGATTTTTCATTTTTTTTTTTTATTTTTATACAGCTGGACAGAAAACCCTCTAAGTGTGTGGTGTTTGAGGACGATCCCAGGGGAATAACTGCTGCTCACAACTGTACAATGATGGCAATTGCTTTAATTGGTGCTCATCCTGCGTAAGTAGCATCTATATAATTCTCAGTCTAATATTTATTATTCATGCATATCATGA